TCATACTACAAATTTGCCGACACTCACCAAGAATCCACATGAACTGATTCTTCAACTCTTCCCCGTAGTTCTTGCTCTAGCTTATTTGTCTCATCAACTTCTTCTTCGTACTTTTTTAGCTATTCTTCATCAGCCAAGGGTTGATCGAGATATGCAATGTCATTTTCCAGGCTTTCACATGAAACTTGCGACTCGCGATCACTTAGTTCATCTTCCACTTCGGCCAAATTTGCCTCAGAATCTTCTGAATTAAAACTTCTCTCAGAACTTGAATCACTTAAAGACATATTCCGTTGAATTTTGGTGGTTTTAGTATCCCGCTCGCTTAAAATCAGTTAAAATGATTTTCCCTTTATCGTTTCTCGGTCATTTACTCATGAGTCCGCGGCAGATGTCCTCCTTCGATGACGTCACAACAACATTCGTACCCAGCTCCCACGAACCTCGGTAATGGGACACAAGAGACCTAACTTTAAACAGCCATGGAAACGCGAGGATTTTGTCAATCACGATAATTTTTTCGCAAAAGTAATCAGAAAAATAAGGAGATTTCATTTAGCGAAAAACATTTTTGGGGGTTAGTTGCACTTTAAGCTTACATTAAGTTTTCATAAATAGCAAAAAAAATTAATAAGATTTACATACAGCTCCAAACATGTACATCTGTTATGCATGAAGCAATTTCATATCCTTCCACATCAATAGTTAGTGCGAATGGAGTCAAACATGTACAGTGAAACTTGTATAATTTAAGCGGACACCTCAGAGAATGCTGTAGTGCCCACTTGGTACAAAGTTTCTTCCTACTACATACAGGTTTCGATAGAAAATGTGATATGAGACAGACCTGCCAACTCTCTCCATTCTGCCGTGAGTCTCACGATTTTTTAACTTTTCTCACGGTCTCATGACAAGGCTCCCAATCTCATGGTTTTCTGGGAAATATTCTAAATTGAAATATTACCTTGTTGAATAAAAACATAAATTTTGTGGGGAAATTCTTGTGCCTGGATAAGCTTTAACTATTTTAGCCATGAAGTTGTCTTAGCCCAAAGAAATGACTCTGCTGTATGTTTCGTCACAGTGATAACCTATTTTCTGGCCTCTTAAAGTCATCAAAGAAAAAGCGGCATCTAATTTGTTACATAACGGACCACACTAAAGAAAGGTTATATTAAAATAAACAGTTGACTCCCCTAATGGAAAAGGGGTCGTTTAATTTTGATTGGGAAAAAATTGAATCTTACTAGTTTTGGTAGAATCTCCCGATTTTTTTTCATGAGTCTACAGATTTTCCTTTATTAGGGGTTGGCAGGTCTGTATGAGGAGCTAAGTACCATTCAAATAAAAGGCAGAAACATTTGGAATACTCCCAGAGATATGATGATATACATTTGCATTAATATCTTTCTTTGTGTGGAGCAAATTGTACCTCAAATTTTAGGATATCAAATGAGTCAAACAAATTTATACAAACAAAAATGAAATGAGAAAGTACTGTAACTCATTTATATAATTTACAGAAGTCCCCTAGTGACACTAGACAAGTGCTGATACGGCAAGACTCCCAATCTCATGGTTTTCTGGGAAAGCAAAAGGCATCTTAAAATAACAAAAGGCACATAGGGCTCAGCCGAATGGTACCATAATGACGTCAAAACGTATAGAAACAGGCCGTTTCTCCGAAACCCCCCCCATTCCCCTATGGCTATTTTTATTTGCGTTTACCCTGCCACACCTCCCCTCCCCGTACCTGATGAAACAAGGCTTTCAGCAGTTTGTTGAGATAGGATGCTTTATGTTTTAAAGGATGAGCTCATCATATTTTATTATCGTATAGACAGGGGTAAGATAAGTTAACAATAATAGACAGATTATTATAGGTGTGTTACTCATTTTTACAGCTATCCCTGGAAGAAGAAATAGAAGTAAGAAGCTGACTGGTAGCCACTGAGATTGAGGAGAGGAGAAAGGAAATTGAAAGAGAAGAGAAAGACTTGGAAGGAAAAGAAGAAAGGTTAAGAAAAAAAGCAAAAGAAATTAAGAACACAGTAATAGAGGCCAAGCAGGTAGCTGCCCAACTGCAACTAATGGCAGGGCAGCTAGACTGCTTGGCTAACTAAATTCTAGAAGAGACCAAAAAGTTAAAGAAGAAGTAAAAGAAAAACACCAGTGTAAGAAAATTTTATTGATAACAAACCGTTTCTTTTAATCAAAGTCAATGTGCAAAGTTTTTACATGTAAACAAGTCTAAGTCAGACCTGTTATGCAAGAAAGAAAACACATTTGTTCAGTATATAAAAAATAAAAGGAAACTGGTTCTTCTAATTTCTCGTATCCTGTATGGTCTCTTCTTGCTCCATGGAATCCACTCCATCTAACATCCTCCACTTCCCGCACCGCACTACTCTCTTCGTGGAATCTATTATACTAGATCTTTACAGACATCCAGTAAGCAGCACCTCCTCCATCATACACTGCATGTTTTTTCTCATCATCTACAGAGTATTCCCAGCCAAGGAAGCACCTAATTATAAAAACAGTCAGATAAAAAGAGATTATTATATATACAAAAGTCAAAACAAAATAAATCAATAAAGGCAATATTATCACTTAAAATCCCTAATTATTTGTTAAGCATCTCTTAAATCAGATATTATAATGGTTTTTCTCAACTACTCCCTAAACTTCACATTAATATAGGTGAGTGAAACCACAAACACAACTACCCCCCTCCCCCCAAGCAACGGTAAAAAAATATTTCTCCCTTGAATTATAAATTTTTGTAACTTCAAGCAACCTATCAAGATAATCCAAAGACTGGTTTCTAATCTTAAACCAATAGCGAAATGAATACCTGTCAACCTAACTGTAATCATACCATAGCAATGGCAAGGCTATGTGAAATATATTAGCAGAGGCAGTACAACAGCAAATTTTAAAGAAAGGCTTTAGAGCTATTATAATGGAACACCTATAGTCATGGAATGATTGTCTTCACTAAGTTACGCCTACCAAGAAATTACCACAAAGCTACATCAGCTGAGTGATAAAACTGTACAAGCTGGGTGATAAAACTGTACGAGCAGGCCCCGAATTGTTGGAACTGGCCAGTGTCACTTGATGTAACTGACAATAGCATGGAGTCCAAGTAAGTTAACAAGCATCAATGAATGAACTCGTGTAGTTATTGAACTATATTGTCATTCTTGAACTTTGGTGTCTTTACTGATCTACACAAAAAGGAAAACCGAAAAAATGTAACATAAAAAAGTCTCTTTTTATATTGTAAAAGTGTGAGAAGGGTGATGATATTCATCGCATGAAAATCCTGCAATTTTTTATATCCTTAGAAATTTTTTTTCCCCCTCATTTTTGGATGCGGACGCCCGAGGAAACACATTTTCAATATTACACCATTGAAACGCTTACTAGTGTCCGTTTTCTTGGCTTTTTCTAGTTTTTTTTCCTATTAACTCTGTAAAGCGATTAAGGCAAAGCTACATACCCATCCTTTCTACGGCTCCTCCTCTTGGATTCTCTGCATAAAGCCCTAAAAATGTTGATGTTGATCAAAAACTTTAGCTTACGGCACTTTACCCTAGTGATAGATTCTGTTTGACTATTTACTGGATAAAAACCATGTTCTCCTTTGTTTGTGGGGCGAAGAAGCAAAGAGAAAGGCAATGTGAACTTATCTCCATCATGAGCAATGAATGTTTGGCAAAATGATCGTAATTTATAGTGAAAAGTTGCAATATAATAAGCTATAATATCCTTGGTTATCGCGCGACGATTAGATTCAATACGCTTTATTAACATTTTGATACGTTTGACTGAAACAGGAAATCCTTTCAAAAGCCTTGAAGATTATAGCCCATATTCTATAAAAAAAAACCACTTGCTTCTTACATTTGTTTACTTTTAATAAATTGTTTACACAATTTAATAGTCTAGTATGAACATCATGACGCTATGTTTCGTGACCTGTCCACGCCACTTTCGCAATTTTTGTAAACATCCCTGAGGTTTGCGACTTTTATCCCACTGATCATTTTTGCTAACTTATTAGATGGCTCACTTCTATCACTAATTGAGAGACCTATACCATATTAACGTCATTTGTTTTTCTCGAGACTAAATTCTGCTGGGCTCTTTAGTTATGCGTCTCTAAAGACGCCCGGGTATGAGTTGTACCATCTGGTCGATCTCGGGAAGTTCTTGATTTTTTACGATGGAAATGCTCTTTCCTAGGATAAATTGCAATTTTACTATATAGCATTAATAGATAAACACATACCTTCGGTCGTTTCATCGCAACGTCTCGACTTTTACCTCTTGAAACCACGAGACAATTTCGCTCAATGAAACCATTTAAAGTTCCCGAAATAAATTTCTCGTGACGTCACGATGGCCAAGATCATCGGCCGCGCGATCCCTATAGGAGCGATTGGCGAGTTCATCACCCCCCCTGACTGCATTCTTAGCCATTTTTGTACAAAACTACGGGCAAGACCGCATGACGTTTTTGGTATCGCAGGCTCAACCTGGTCTTGGTCGTTGTTATCTAAGGACTTCCCGCGGAAGTCCTTAGATAACAACGACCGAGACCAGGTTGAGCCTGCGATACCAAAAACGTCATGCGGTCTTGCCCGTAGTTTTGTACAAAAATGGCGGGCTTGATGTCGGCCACGCAGAGGGTTTTGTGGGGCTAAGAATGCAGTCTTTCTTCTAGAATTATTGTCAGCTAGTGCAGAGATAATTGTAAGGACGCAAGTAAATAAAATTAATTATGTATAATTGTTAATAAAATGAATTGAACATCGTATCCTTGTGTGAGTTCCTTCTTGTAGCCTCGCTCGTTGTTATTTAAGAAATACTGCCCAAACTAACGAGAGGTGTATATTTAATATGATAAAGAAAACACTTTATTGGTTATGACTTCTAGAGCTTTGGTGGCTCCTAAAAGAGCCGTTTGTTGGAGTGTGTAGCGCAAAGATCTAGCCGCCAAATCCGTACAGAGTACGTCCTTGACGTTTGAGAGCGTACACCACATCCATAGCGGTCACAGTCTTGCGTTTGGCGTGCTCGGTGTAGGTAACAGCATCACGGATCACATTCTCAAGGAAAACTTTGAGAACACCACGAGTCTCCTCGTAGATCAGGCCAGAGATTCGCTTGACACCGCCACGGCGAGCAAGACGACGAATAGCTGGCTTGGTGATGCCTTGGATGTTGTCACGAAGAATCTTTCGGTGACGCTTGGCGCCTCCTTTTCCTAGACCTTTGCCTCCTTTGCCGCGACCAGACATGTTGTAACTTTTTCTCGGACACGAAGTAATAACTGAACAGACGAGTTTCCGTCTTTTTATACCGGTAAGAATGACCTCACGGAAAACACGCTATAGGAGAAATATAATTTCTTGTTCTTGATTGGTTAGAACAGACAAAAGAGTCAAGGGGTCAAGTGAATTATTACCAAACTATTGCCTCACTAGACAGGTGCGAACATGTTAAAAGAGCCAAAAATCACCATTATCGCTAACACACTTGCGATATAACTGTCAGCCTGATTTATGATGATACTTTCTACCTTGTATAAATAATGATTAAAGATTATTATTTGCAAATTCCGTATTTTGCCACATCATCACACTTAAACTAATTTATGACACATCAGCGCGCCAAAACGGTAATTTATTTGAAGGAAATGGCGGGAATTCCGAACTTTGGCGTTTGTTTGCATCAAAGGTCATCAAAAGTCACGTGAAACTACACGTGAATCCTGACGCAATGTGCGAGATATAAGGCCCATGATGCTTAGCGATCCTAGTGCGCCGGGAGAAAAAAGTACGTTTTTCTCTAGGTACAGGTCGCTTTTTATTGAAGCTCCAAAATGAACTCTTCGAAGAAAAAACCTGAAGACTGGTTACTCGGTCATCAAATATTTTTCAAGAAAAGGTGAGTTTGTTCCAATTTTCTCGTGTTTTGCTTTTACTATATCGGTGATTAAGCTTACCTACTGCAAATAAGACGTCTATGTATGCAGTGTACTTGTCGCCTAACCTTCGCCTAGTCTACCCGAAAGCGAAGAAAACCAAACTCTCGGACATAGACTATTTTGAAACTTTTGTCCGACCGCCCTCTGAATCCCGGACATGGAGACTTATTACCTTAAACATCTTTATAACTAAAAACCTTAACAATGTTTGAATCACACCCCCTTTTGTTTTTTTTTTTAAATTTAACCTAACTTCTACAAAAACGACGGACATGTTAAGCGATATAGTAGTCACAGGTAAACACTTGTTTCCATAGTCACATGTGACATCGGTAGTGATAGACACCGGCTCTTCTGGCGTTTTCTTAGTGAAAACGCTATTACGACGCTTCTTTAAGATGAATTTAGTGAAGATCAAGTATTCGCAATGAGTTTAACTCGGGAAGCCGTGAAGGAAATTTAGATGTTTAGAATTCCTTCTCTTCCGTATGTCGCAAGGAGTTCGACTAGCGCAAAGCGATCATCCACGATTTGAATAAAAGACTTGAAGAGCTCGAAAAGCTAACCGGTAATGAGCCAGTTGTGGCTAACGACAATCCAGCGCTATTTGAACAAAAATATGAAATGTTTGCGATCATGCGAGTGGATCTTGATGAAAACGAAATTTTGATATTTTGCTGCCATCGAAGAAATTATTCTCTGCAAAACCTAGTCCGGTGCATTTGGATTCGAGAAAAAGGTTTCGCCTTAAGCTTTGCCCAGTAAACCATCTTAGTTCAGAAATAAATGAAATGGCTTTCTTCTTTGGGAAATATTACAAAATATTTACCGGTAATAAGCTTACATATTTTTGAGCAAGGTCGTTGACACTGTTTTCTGACAGCCCGCTTAATATGGACACCTGAATAATATGAGCATTATGGCATGTTCTCTTGGTGTCTGTATTTACCTGGTTCCACTGTTGTAGAACTAAACACTCCCTAGGTTCAGACTGCTATTGCAAATAACATTCCAGCGAAAAATGAGTGAGAAACAACATAATATTATGAACAACGGTATTTAATTCAGGGTTTTCGTTAAGAATTCTAGTCGCAGGAGTAGCAGGACAATAATGTGAAAGAGGTTCCATGTCTGAATATAAAATAGTCTGAGGCTACCGAAGCTAGCCGGAGAAATCTGTGTAGTAAATGGAGAGTTCCCTGATCTCTCACCTTGTAATTTAAAAAGTGCCAAAATTGGTTGATAATTTGAGAAAATCTTTTTATTATTTGAAGGTCATGGCAGAAATGGTACGTCGTCCATTTAAAGTTTGTAACTTCAACGCTCAAAGGACGGTGGGCATAGTAGCTGCCAGCCTGCAAGAACTTAAATATAAAGCAAAGGCTAAGTTTGCCCTTAGTACCTGTCTTGTGTTCCTGGAAGATGGAACAGAAATAGATGATGAGGAATATTTTTGGTTCCTTGATTGTCAAACAAAGCTGATTGTTGTTGGTAGAGTTGACGGGATGGCTGGATCACAGAGTAAGCTCTTAATATTAAGGCAGCGAGCAGTCTCTCTTTTTCTTCAGATTTAGTAAGGTGAGTGCACGCACACATGAGTGTTAAGCAAGATGCGAGAAACAAGGGCAGCAGCCTGTCTCCCACCTTCAGTAACATGCGTGGTCATTTGTGTCTCGGGCGCTTTGCTCAGTGGACCAAGAAAAAAGAGAGACTGCTCATAGTCTTCTTAATATTTTGTTTCTGATCACTTTTTTAATATATGAAAATATACTTAGACTTTTAACTGAGGATGCAATGGTATCAGTTCGTTTTGCCTGTCGATTCACCCAAAGCTGTTGCTTGGAAATGGTTTAATTTGTCTGATGCTACCTTAGCAATAAGCAGGCATGCACATAATTTAGAATGAGCAAATATACGTTACCAGGTAGCCTGCACAACAGGCATTATTTTTAGGGTCACTCTGGTGTGTTGTAATAATAATAATAATTTAGAATTCATTTTACGCAGTTTCCATTAGGAGATGATCAACTGTGCATTACAACAATACATAGAACAAAAATAACTAAATGATAAATAAGAATTACATCATGTGTTGTGTATAATATTAAAAAACCTAGCTAAGAATAAGAAGCCTTACGTCTTTAAAAATTTTGCTTAAAAAAATAAATAAAAATGACATAGTTGTGTTAGGTATTAAGTTAACCTAACTAAAAATGAAAAGCCGTACTAAAAAGATGGGTCTTTAAAAATTTTTTTAAAAGTGTCTGCAGATTTGGCCATTTTAATTTCCACAGGTAAATCATTGCAGAGTTTAATTGCGGAAGTCACAAAAGCACAGTCGCTTAGGGTTGTTAAAGTTTTAAAATTGGGGTGAGAGGGCAGTATTCCAATGTTTGGTGCAAGTTCAGAGTGTTAGACATATACAATCAGCATAAAGAGAAAAATAATGTCTTTAGACAGGTTAATGTTCTCTCTCTCTTCTGTCCACACACATGCTTTCTTAGCAGGACCATTTAAAAGTGTTTAAGTTGTTAAAATTGTGATAATCATCATGCCACGAGTGTGGGACAAAGAAAAAATCTGGAGTCCTTGTCCTTGCCTGTCGACTCACCCAAAGCTGTTGCTTGGAAATGGTTTAATTTGTCTGGTGCTACCTTGGCAATAAGCAGGCATGCACATAAATTAAAAATGAGCAAATATACGTTATCAGGTAGCCTGCACAACAGGCATTATATTTAGGGGCACTATGGTGTGCAGTAATATTTAAGTCGTATAATAATAATAATAATTTAGAATTCATATTGCACAGTTTTTATTATGAGATGATCACCTGCGCATTTCAACAAAAAATATTACATCATGTGTTGTATATAATATTAAAAAACCTAACTTAGAATAAAATTAAGCCTTACTTAAAGGTACATCTTTAAAAGTTTTGCTTAAAAAAACTAAATATAAAACACATAGTTGTGTTAGGTATTAAGTATACCTAACTAAGAATGAAAAGCCTTACTAAAAAGGTGTTTCTTTAAAAATTTTTTACAAGTGTCAACAGATTTGGCCATTCAAAATTCCAGAAGTAAATCATTCCAGAGTTTAGGTGCCGAAACCACAAAAACACGGTCGCTCAGGATTGTTATGTGAATCAACATTGGGGACGGCTTAACATGACAATTTTCAACAAATATGACAAGTATCACCTCTCATGGAAGCCCTTTAAAGGTGTTAAGGGATTGAATGGACAGAGGAGAGTGGTGACCAAAGTCTACCACATTTCTAAGAAGCACTAAACTACTAATACCATAATTGCAAACTAGGGGAGTGGATTCGACAAGGTGACGATTAAGAATTTTGGGACAGCTGATACTTGATAGCATTCTAGAAGGAGAAAACTGCTCAGCTTGTCAGTTTACTCTTCTGCATTAAGTTAAAAAAGAAAAACAGAAAATAAATAAATAATAATAAAATTAAAAAAAACAATAACAAGAAAAAAGTTAATAGGGGCTTCCCTAAAAATCTGCTTAACAAGTTATAAGGATGCTAAAGAGAAATGCAAATAAAACTGTTTATATTGTAACTGGGTATATATACTACAATTCCAAAAGCAAGGCCTTGTACATTGTACCCTAATGTGTTTAATTATTTTTTGTTCAAACAGACCCAGCTCACAGTGAAGGAAGTATATTCTCAAGTTTGGAGAGCATGGTGTTTGGATAATTACACAGATGCTGGGAATACTGTTTTCTAAACTGTTAGACATGCTCATAGATTTATTGCATATTCATAATAGAAGTAGGATTGCCTAGTTGAAGAAAGCCCCAAATGACATGATAAATAATTTTTTAGAAAATTGTAAAACAGGACTGCTGTATTAAAATTTGTATGGTAAAGCTGTCTTGGTGTACAGTGTAGAAGTCCCACAGAGGTCACGAATGGCAGGGTTTCCCTGGGGTACATCGCAGTCTTAATTTAACCTCGGTTAGTAACATCTGCCAAGCAGCGCAGAGATGCATGTTTGTTCTGGGCCCTAATGGACTCGACGAAAAACCAGAAGTGCGTAATTGACATTTTTTAACCAGGACGATCATGGCGTGTACTCAAATTATGGTACAAAGGTAGGGGCCAAGAATAAGGCCTGGTTCGCAGACAGACTTCATCTGCTGTGCCATGACTATGCCTGACTTCACAGGCCTACCATCCTGTTTTATTCAGCTTTACCAGTCCTGGCTTTACACCCTAACTAACTGTCTTTAGACCAAGCAAGTTTTTCTACCAAAGATATTTTTTTCATTTTTGCAATACAAGTTAGTAACAATGTTATTAGCCAATTTTAAAGCTAGGCAATATCCTCCTCCCACCCAGTGTCCATTATTTTTTCCTCTTAACCACTTATATTTTCAAGCGAAACGGCGCCTTCAAACAGCGTCTCTACTAGATTTGCTCATGCAGGGGTGGCTCGCCAAATCATTTGACTAGTGCATAACCGTTTAACTTGGAGTTTTTCGACTAATTTACCTACGATTTTCTGAGGTTGACTTTTTATATTTGATAAGATATTGCGATTATTGTGTAACACGATCATATGAAAATCATTCCGCATAAGAAAAAATAACGTTCCCTAGAATCTTCTAATAGGGAACTTAATTAAGCGAGGGCGTTTTTTAACGCTGCAAGTCAACCGAAAGTGAGAACTTTTTCCTTTTAATACATCTTGACGCTAAAAAAAATTGTATTACTTAGTTTTTTTTCACTTGTAGAGACGATTTAACTAAAAATTTTGGAAAAACCACTGCTGGTGAATGTAAAAAGTCCACTTCCGGTTGGCGTGCATTGTTCAAAAACAGTTCCTTAATGAATGTACGGCTCCTCCATGCCATGGACCCGAATTTATCAAGAGAGGACGTATACTCCTTGAAAGGCAAGCGCGAAGCGAGCGAGGAGCGCGAGACACGCACGAAAGCGAAACGCGCAGAAAAGCTCTACGCTCTCTTCGTGATTAGTTCGACGAAAGAACGCGAGGGAAAAACGCCTGTTCTGCAACACAGGCTAAGCTGACCTACGCTTAGTTAAAAAGGCCCCTACAAAACAAAGACGAAACTGAACTGACGTATCCTAATTAACAGACAAGACTATTTCGCGTCTCCTTTCATTGCCACTTTCGTGTAACCCCGAATGAAAACTTACTCGGAGGTTATACCCAGCCATTCAAACTATAATCTTCACCGGCTGAACCGTCCTTTCCCCTCAGATGGCAAAAACTGGTTTGTCTGTGTAAGAGAATCACTACACGTTGTAGACGATGAGCCGTTCCTTTTGGCGGTAAAATAATAAACATATCATTGGGCCTATTAAAGGAGTTTGAAAATAGAGGAACAAATATAATTGAATTTGGTCATGATTTTTATGACATTTGGTGGCTCCTAAAAGAGCCGTTTTGATTTAGCGGTAAACCCACAAAGTGAGTTTACTTGCTGCTGGTGTACTTGGTCACAGCCTTGGTTCCTTCACTGACAGCGTGTTTGGCCAGTTCACCGGGCAGAAGGAGCCTGATGGCGGTCTGGATCTCGCGAGAACTGATGGTTGATTTCTTGTTGTAGTGGGCAAGGCGGGAAGCTTCGGTGGCGATGCGCTCGAAGATGTCGTTAACGAACGAGTTCATGATGCCCATGGCTTTGCTGGAGATACCTGTGTCAGGGTGAACTTGCTTCAACACCTTGTAGATGTAGATGGCATAGCTTTCCTTTCTCTTTCCCCTCCTCTTCTTCTTTCCATCAGATGGAGCCTTTGCCTTTCCGGCTCTCTTCTCGCCTTTCTTTCCTGCAACTTTGGGTGCCATGTCTGTCGATCAGAATGGAAGTGAATACCCCAGGTTAACACAGATTGTATTTATAACAAAATCACTAGGGGATCAATTAACATGCGGATCGAAATCCTTAAGTTTTAATTGGTTATTCTATTTTAATGTCAATATGCTTTCCGCATACATCATCATATTTCATCAAACACTTAACATTTTTAAAGCGTGATTGGTGCGTTTCGATCCTATTCAAAATTTGCCTCGCGTATAAACTGTAAAGTTTTTAGCTTAAGTTTATTCACTCGTGCATAATCGAGCTCAATTCTTCATTTGAAAACATGTCTGGTCGCGGTAAAGGAAAGGCAAAGGGCACCAAGTCCAAAAGCCGATCATCCCGAGCAGGGCTTCAGTTCCCTGTTGGACGTATCCACCGTCTTCTTCGCAAAGGCAACTATGCTGAGCGTGTTGGCGCTGGTGCCCCAGTCTACTTGGCTGCAGTGCTCGAGTATTTGAGCGCTGAAATCCTCGAGTTGGCGGGTAACGCTGCCCGTGACAACAAGAAGACTAGAATCATTCCCCGTCACCTTCAGCTTGCTGTCCGCAACGACGAAGAGTTGAACAAACTGCTCGCCGGCGTCACCATCGCGCAAGGAGGTGTTCTTCCCAACATCCAGGCTGTTCTCCTTCCCAAGAAGACTGAGAAGAAGGCAAAAGCTTAAACAGTGCTTTCCTGATTGCAAAAACAAACGGCTCTTTTAGGAGCCACCATATATTATAAAAGTCATGACCATAAGCAGAACTATATATGAACTTAGTAGATACTCCCTTCTTCGAATGAGTCGATGAAGCCAACAAGAAATCCCTTGTGCACTGATCTTTCATTCTTTCCAGTAAAAATTGCGTAAATAAAAATTGGAAAGCTATGCTCGGTTCATTGCTGAGTTTTTTAGTATTGGTCATCACTTCCTTGCAATTACGGGTATACATAAATTTTAAAAAAGGTACATAGAAAGCGGTGACTTCACAACGTGTAGAAATCTGGCGAACTGTAATGACTCACACAGTCAACCTTTACGACCGTAACGAATGCAAATCAGTCCCGACGCGCGCAATCTATCTTGAATTGTAACGGCGTCCTTTACGAAGTTGATTGCCGTTAGGCACAAACTGACGATCCTTTAACTTAGGAATAAATAACGATTATCTTTAAAATTTACTCATACTCCATTACTAACGTGCGGTTCATTAGTTATGACTGGTAAATATTTGGTGGCTCTTAAAAGAGCCGTTTGTTTCAGTGTGTAGCGCAATGATCTAGCAGCCATTCTTACGTTTAAAACGGCCATGGGTCACCCAGGGTATAAAAGTTTGTCGGGTATGCATAAATTTTAAAAAAGGCGGGTCGAAGACATATTTAAAAAGAGTAGAAATTGCGCGAACTATAAGATCAGTGAAAGATGACTAGACTAAAGTAAGTTCGAATACTGGTTGATGACAATGTTGTTTTCTGATGTCTGATAAGATTAACGTTGCAGAACATTTGTTTTCACTCTAATACTGAGTTCCGCTGAAGTCAACTGTGACGATCTAACAAATGCAAATCAGTTGTTACCGACGCGCGCAATTTAAATTATAACGGCATGCAGTTGATTGATTTTAGGCAAGAAGTAATGATCCTTAGAAACTCGACAGCGAAATTACACAAGAATGAAAGCGATTATTTCTGAAAGTAACTTATATTCCAAAATTTAACGTATATTCTGTTATTACTGTAACACTTTCTTCAGTGCCCAAACTAACGAGAGGTGTATATTATGATAAAGAAAACACCTTGTTGGTTATGACTTTTAGAGATTTGGTGGCTCCTAAAAGAGCCGTTTGTTGGAGTGGGTAACGCAAAGATCTAACCCTAAATGGAACCTGATTTGCTCACTTTTCTAACCCTAATGGCTAAACTTTTGAGTCATTCGGCGCAGGGCGGCCATTCGACGTACTGCAAAATAGAGTGACCGGCCAAGCTTCTCGCTCTCACTGCATGGTGGCAAACTACGTATTGTCTTTGTTGTGTTGACGAAAGAGGATTTAAACCAAGTTAAATGAGAGAGACTGTAAAAACTACAGGGAGAGGTTTAAAGAGTAGAAGTTTTCCTATCTTCCAAATGTTTCTACACAAAAAGAAAATCGCAGGCGCAACAATTATACGACTTTAAAGGAAAAATTATTTCAAGATTCACTGGAGCGAAAGGATAAAAGGTTAGATATCGTTTGCTACACGTACCTTAACTCGTACATATTTGTGGTAATCGCTTACGTTCAAGGCTTAGCTTTCAATCTTTTAATTCTAGAAGTAATTTATTTCTATGTTACAACACTTTATTTGACAAAATCCACAGAAAACTAGCACAGAAGAATCGTGCGCCATGTTCGATCATTGTCTCCTCAGTGGTCCGCATACTACTCATTTACATCACTTCGCAGTATTCGGGTGTTCAATCAGTGCTTTCGTATCCGAAGGTATCGTTCGAAGTCCATCATGTCTGAAGTTGCTCAAACAAAGTCACCGGCTAAGAAGAAGCCATCTAAGCCTAAAAAGCCAGCTGATCATCCACCATACAGTGAGATGATCAAGGCTGCTATTGTAGCTCTGAAAGAGCGAGGCGGATCTTCGCGCCAAGCCATCGAGAAGTACATCAAAGCCAACTACAAGGTTGGTGAAGTCGGCCCACACTTGAAGACGGCTCTCAAGAGAGGAGTTGCTGCTGGAAAGTTAGTACACACCAAAGGAGTTGGCGCTTCTGGCTCCTTCAAGGTGCCCAAGGAGGAAAAGAAGGCTCCGAAGAAACCGGCGAAGAAGCCAAAGAAGCCCGCCGCCAAGAAGGTAGCAAAGAAACCCGCGGCTAAAAAGCCAGCGGCGAAGAAACCAGCGGCTAAGAAGAAGCCAGCCAAGAAAGCAGCAGTTAAAAAGCCAAGTAAGAAATCGTCACCGAAAAAGACTGCAGCAAAGAAACCAGCCGCCAAAAAAGCTACAGGAAAGAAGACAAAGAAGCCTGCAGCCAAAAAGCCCGCCAAGAAAACTGCCGCCAAAAAGCCCGCTAAGAAGTAAAGCGCAACACTTCTTTACAAACAAACGGCTCTTTTAGGAGCCACCACATAATAAAAAGCAATAACCAATGCAAGTATTTATACTACTGCAGCATGCAGTGTCTGACTGTATTCAGAGCTTTCGAAAGGAAACAAACATGAGACAAAAGTGCTCCACAGGCAGCCCAATATATATAACACACTGAAAACAAGGGGCACACATCGCACGTACGCACCCATACACTAACTCACGGCCAGCCCAGGTTCGGGTTTCTCAAAATAGAATTATTTTTAATCCGTTGTTTACAGGTGACGTTGTAAACCTTTTTTTTGTTGTTGTTGTTGTTCTGGGAACACCTTTTTTTTTAAGGAACACCTTACTATACTGGTGGTCAAAATGTGTTTCTTGGACCCCAAGACCCAGCTATGGTAACTCAAAATGACAGTTGTCTTGTTAGCTGGCGGGGGGAGGCAGGACATGGAGTGCATAGGGATTTGACATTTTTTTCAAAAAATGTCCTTCAAATTCCCTTCCTACGGGCAAATCATTCAAGTCATATGCACAAAAATTTCCCCTCCCCAGGCTACACATGATTGCCTTTGACTTAAGTTTTACCTATGTTCTGGTGCTAGTAAAAGCAATAACTGACATCTTTTACTGAAATGCGACAACAGTATCAAAACATTTAAGTCCCACACAGCATTGTAGTCATGTCAAAACTTCAACCTTATACTGAGCCGAGCTAATCTAAATTATAGAATATCCACGAGTGGTCCTGTCCCATTGATAAGATTAAAAGAATGTGATGTTAGNGATGATAGTTTCTAACAATTAACAACGACAACTTAGGAATAATTGTTTTCTATCAATCAAAAGAACCTTATGTGACTTATAGGATCGCAATGCTAGCCTAGATCATAGCAATATTTTACGAGCAGTCTTGGTTAACCAATGAAATCGCATAGTTTATAACCAATCAGCAAAAAGCGCGCTAAGTATAAAGTATCGTGGAGGGATATTACATACATTATTCGTGGACTTTTGAGTTAGCAGAAATGGCACGTACAAAGCAAACTGCCCGTAAATCGACTGGTGGAAAAGCTCCACGAAAACAGCTCGCCACAAAGGCAGCTCGTAAGAGCGCGCCTGCAACTGGAGGAGTCAAGAAACCTCATCGTTACAGGCCTGGTACAGTTGCTCTTCGTGAAATCCGTCGTTACCAGAAATCAACCGAGCTGCTAATCCGCAAGCTGCCATTCCAGCGTCTTGTGCGAGAAATCGCTCAAGACTTCAAGACCGATCTGCGTTTCCAGAGCTCTGCTGTGATGGCTCTTCAAGAAGCAAGCGAGGCTTACCTTGTTGGTCTGTTTGAAGACACCAACTTGTGCGCCATCCACGCTAAGCGCGTCACCATCATGCCCAAGGACATTCAGTTGGCCCGCCGAATCCGCGGAGAGCGTGCATAAGTGCATTGCTTCTAGTTCAAACCAAACGGCTCTTTTAGGAGCCACCACATCAATAAAAGCAATGACCAACAACCATGACTTACTGTCAAGTAGCCCAATTTGTCAGTTTCAACTGTTTTTCCAAGGGGAGTAAAGCACCCTTTGTCTTCAGAATTCTAAGTTGGAAACTTAAAAAAAAATCTTTCTGAGATTAACAAAAAGGGGAAAAAATCTCCATTTACAATCATCACTAAACCAAACGTGATGGTTTCTGTAGTAAGTGATCTCTTGATGTATTTTCGCCCACTAAATTTGTTAATGAAATATGTAAGAACGCTTTAAAGTTGTCTGATTATTCTCTGCAGCGAACACCAACGTTGGCAAGACTAATACACGTTCAATGAAAATTTTCTATTTCATTTTTGTACTAGATCGCTCCTTTCATTAAGTGAGTCAGTAGAAAAGTAATTTTTCTAGAACTACTCAGTACTACTATGAGTATCTATCATCAGAAAAGACCGTAAGAACACATGCCAATATTTTTACAATACAAAATTTGTATTTTTAAAATGTAAAAATATTAGCATTTAATGTAATGATATACGACCACGGGCTGCCTGTCAAGGTTCAGCTAAAGGTTTTCAAAAACACCAAATAGTTGCACTAAAATCTACTATTCTTTATCTAACCTAAAATTCTTAAATCTGGTTCGCTATATCTAGCCGTAAAAGGCAAGTTAGCGATAAAGCAAACGCACATTTTCCATAATACTGGTTTGAAATGGTTACAGGTCGTTTCGACTCAGGTGTATTCAGTAGATGTGTAACTAATTTCACATACTCGGCTTAACAGGAATATTCCCCCGAAATATTCTTCTTACTCACGTGCAAATTACACTTATAGTGATCAAACTTTTTGTGTAATTTATTTTCAGTGCTTGAGATCGTTTCGAAACGACTTTTTTAAACAGGTTTCCTACAAGTTTGGTATTGTTGAAATCCTCTCAAATTCAGTCCTGTTGATCGACTTCCCATTAAATCACCCAGCTAATATCCAGCAAAAAGTTAAAATCGCTAGACCTAAACGAAATTCACTGGTTTTCGATGAGAAAGAAGACCCACGCAGGAGTACTGAATATGCAGAACGACAAAAGGCCGCCGCTGAGCGCCGAATAACTATGAAGTTTAGTCCTTATGCTTATAGCGTTACGAAAATCATGAACCAAGTTTCAGATTAGTTTCCCCAGTATAATGACCCTAAATGGAACCTGATTTGCTCACTTTTCTAACCCTAATGGCTAAACTTTTGAGTCATTCGGCGCAGGGCGGCCATTCGACGTACTGCAAAATAGAGTGACCGGCCAAGCTTCTCGCTCTCACTGCATGGTGGCAAACTACGTATTGTCTTTGTTGTGTTGACGAAAGAGGATTTAAACCAAGTTAAATGAGAGAGACTGTAAAAACTACAGGGAGAGGTTTAAAGAGTAGAAGTTTTCCTATCTTCCAAATGTTTCTACACAAAAAGAAAATCGCAGGCGCAACAATTATACGACTTTAAAGGAAAAATTATTTCAAGATTCACTGGAGCGAAAGGATAAAAGGTTAGATATCGTTTGCTACACGTACCTTAACTCGTACATATTTGTGGTAATCGCTTACGTTCAAGGCTTAGCTTTCAATCTTTTAATTCTAGAAGTAATTTATTTCTATGTTACAACACTTTATTTGACAAAATCCACAGAAAACTAGCACAGAAGAATCGTGCGCCATGTTCGATCATTGTCTCCTCAGTGGTCCGCATACTACTCATTTACATCACTTCGCAGTATTCGGGTGTTCAATCAGTGCTTTCGTATCCGAAGGTATCGTTCGAAGTCCATCATGTCTGAAGTTGCTCAAACAAAGTCACCGGCTAAGAAGAAGCCATCTAAGCCTAAAAAGCCAGCTGATCATCCACCATACAGTGAGATGATCAAGGCTGCTATTGTAGCTCTGAAAGAGCGAGGCGGATCTTCGCGCCAAGCCATCGAGAAGTACATCAAAGCCAACTACAAGGTTGGTGAAGTCGGCCCACACTTGAAGACGGCTCTCAAGAGAGGAGTTGCTGCTGGAAAGTTAGTACACACCAAAGGAGTTGGCGCTTCTGGCTCCTTCAAGGTGCCCAAGGAGGAAAAGAAGGCTCCGAAGAAACCGGCGAAGAAGCCAAAGAAGCCCGCCGCCAAGAAGGTAGCAAAGAAACCCGCGGCTAAAAAGCCAGCGGCGAAGAAACCAGCGGCTAAGAAGAAGCCAGCCAAGAAAGCAGCAGTTAAAAAGCCAAGTAAGAAATCGTCACCGAAAAAGACTGCAGCAAAGAAACCAGCCGCCAAAAAAGCTACAGGAAAGAAGACAAAGAAGCCTGCAGCCAAAAAGCCCGCCAAGAAAACTGCCGCCAAAAAGCCCGCTAAGAAGTAAAGCGCAACACTTCTTTACAAACAAACGGCTCTTTTAGGAGCCACCACATAATAAAAAGCAATAACCAATGCAAGTATTTATACTACTGCAGCATGCAGTGTCTGACTGTATTCAGAGCTTTCGAAAGGAAACAAACATGAGACAAAAGTGCTCCACAGGCAGCCCAATATATATAACACACTGAAAACAAGGGGCACACATCGCACGTACGCACCCATACACTAACTCACGGCCAGCCCAGGTTCGGGTTTCTCAAAATAGAATTATTTTTAATCCGTTGTTTACAGGTGACGTTGTAAACCTTTTTTTTGTTGTTGTTGTTGTTCTGGGAACACCTTTTTTTTTAAGGAACACCTTACTATACTGGTGGTCAAAATGTGTTTCTTGGACCCCAAGACCCAGCTATGGTAACTCAAAATGACAGTTGTCTTGTTAGCTGGCGGGGGGAGGCAGGACATGGAGTGCATAGGGATTTGACATTTTTTTCAAAAAATGTCCTTCAAATTCCCTTCCTACGGGCAAATCATTCAAGTCATATGCACAAAAATTTCCCCTCCCCAGGCTACACATGATTGCCTTTGACTTAAGTTTTACCTATGTTCTGGTGCTAGTAAAAGCAATAACTGACATCTTTTACTGAAATGCGACAACAGTATCAAAACATTTAAGTCCCACACAGCATTGTAGTCATGTCAAAACTTCAACCTTATACTGAGCCGAGCTAATCTAAATTATAGAATATCCACGAGTGGTCCTGTCCCATTGATAAGATTAAAAGAATGTGATGTTAGGTCCTTCTGTGGACAGCACCAAATGAAATTTATTTTTAAAAAGTCTTGATTACTGACCAGGAGCACTTCCTTCCGATGATCTAAAACAAGGTCATGAAAATTTAAAATCCAAAATCATAAGATTTTATCATCTAGGGTGAAAGGCCTCTTGAAAATTAAACATCTCATGCGCATTTTCAACCTGATGGACTTTTTGTTTTTGAAAATAGAGCTTCCAGTAACTTCGATCCTGCAATATCTTAAAACGTTCAATTGATCCCAGTGCATACAGGCAAAGATAGATTCAAATATCCCCTCTCCTGGGAGAAAAGGATCATTAAAAATCCCCACCCGATGCCCTGCTACCCCAGCAAACTTTGATAAACATTCTAACTCTTCTCTTTATCTACAGTATCAAGGATTCACAGTCCCCATAATTGAAAATATAGAATCTCCTAGTTGATTTTCTTTCACTTAAAAATACAGTCAGCATTTCATAGCATTCTAAACTAGAGTGAAAGACATTATTAAAGGAAATGCTTCCTCAGTGGAAAATAAACCCTTAAAGAAGACAAACAAACCAAGAAAAAAATGTAAATGTTGACATTTAGTTTATGTATCCAGGGCCCAGTTCCTTGAAATATAGTTAAGTTTAACCCAGAATTAAGCCAAATTTTAAGCAAGGTTTTCTTGTCTAAGAACATGCAACTTGAGCTTACAAAATACTGTTGTGCCTTTACTTCAAAAAAAGATATGATAACACGAAATGTTACTCTAAGCAATGCATAGGAAGGTAAATACAAAAAGTGGAACAAAATTTTAATCCTGGACTAGCGCTAATTGGCCTTTTCAGAACCCGGCCCAGTTCCCTAATGACAATGTGGAATGAAGCAAGTAATGCACTTGATGGTCTCTTGCAAAATTGCTTGTGAAGATGTAAATGATCATAGTATAGATCATAGTACAATTTTTACCAAGACCTCCCCTGACAGTATTAATCCCCACCCTGGTGGGTCTCCTTCGGATTTCAAGTTCGGTGACACAAAAGTAATCTCATACCCGACTGTACTCAGATCTCCTCAGTGTAAGAATCTGGGTACAAGATTAACAGAAATGATTGAATGACGGCAAAAATCAAAACCCCCAAAATCTCCAGGGGATTGGGGGGGGGGGGGGTGCAGAGCACACCTTCCCCTTAACTGGGTTTTTGGGGTCTTAAGAACCGGATTTTACCAGTCCCCTTTCCCTTTAAAGGGCCCTTCACAATTTGCACACCCCCAATTTCACCTTGGAAATATTTTTTTTTTTTTTTTTTGTTCAGTTGAACTCTGTTAGCTGATGTCAAAACTTTCACTTGACAGGTCTCAAACTAAGCCGAAAAAAATACAACTAAATAATCTATATCAATAAGTGGTCATAGTCTCCTGATTAGAACTTGTTTGTTGTTATTTAACCAAAACAATGGGGTGCAATTTACGCTTCATCCTATCATCGCAATATTGCTCGACATTGTACTCAAAATAAAATTGTTAACGACTATTAATATTCCCTTGAAAACGGAAAAATTCTAAGTATTAGTTCGCTGGCGTAAGATTTTTCGTGATATTAAGACAATTAAAATAGACGCAAGGCTGTGAGGTTATTGAATTACGTTCGGTACTGAGTATTCCTGTTTAAAATAATCTACAACCGTTCACTTGACGTTTTCTTTTCTTTGACGTTAAGTACCACCTTAATGCCCTTTGTTGCATNACACAGTAAGAGAGGCAGCGAGTGTTGTTATTGTAGGAGAGTAAAAGGTTGTTCCTACTAATAAAAAAAAAACATACCCCGGCCTTCTGTATGTCGCTCTGGTAGAAAAAATGGGGAAAAAAATAAAAAAAAAAAATGTAAGGGCAGGAAAAACAAAACCCCCAAAAATCTGGGGGGGGGGGGGGGGGGGGGGGGGGTTCGAGGACATGCTATCCCTTAACTGGGTTTTTGAGTCATTCAGACACGATATTGACCAGTTCCATTCTCCTTAAATGAGGCCTTGCAAATTGGCAATCCCTCAATTTCAACTTGGAAAGTTTATTGTTATTGTTACTATGGTTAGTAAAAGTAATTCATTGTGACAAATCTTACTGATTTCCATAAGATGGCAGAAACTGGTGTGGATCCGCACCTGATCAGGATTTAGAACTTACTATGAGGGCCCTGAGCACTTCATGATACAAATGTGTACTAAGAATACAATATTATTATTGCCTGGCTTACAGTGATATCCCATGCAAAAGTAAGGTGGTCTGTATATTTTCCTTCGTGATGACCGGTAGAAACAATCACAACAGCACTCTCAAAAGCTCTTCATTCTCTTCGTTTTTGAGAACTGCAAGATAATGATAGAAATTTAAAGCAGTAGTCATATAATATTCAACTTATATTCAACATTTTTGGACTTTCAATATTATTATTCCAATCAGTTTACAGGCTTTTGACACAACAAGGCAAAAAAACCATCACATGGCTCCTTTAATTCAGTATACTTATACTAAGGGAATTATGTAATAGTTGGTGTTGCTCCAGGGAGGTATTTTTGCTTTATAAAAAAGCTCCAGCTAGTATTTGGCTTTTTGCTTATGAACTCCCTGAAACCTTTTTTTTTCTGTCAGCTCATAGTAATCATGCAGTCTCAATACAAGGAGATAGTCTTAACCTTAAGCCTTAATATAAGAGTGATCAGAATGAAATTACTCCTTGGAATATCAATGCTTTGTAAAACAGAGTGCAGTCATGAGAAGGGACACAAGCAAAGACGAAAAATCTAATTGACACTTCAACAATTATTTCTCCCCACTTCTCAGTATCGAGAACATATGTGGATGATAAATGAGAATTTGAATATTTTGATATCAGGTTTTATAGGGTTAAAAGGAATTCTTCATGCTCCTGTCATAATATAATACTTATCATTCCTGTGATACTGCCTCTAACAGGAAGCCCACATGCTATATTAATAAAATGTTATTCAAACTTTGAAAATCACTAGCTTGTTTGTACACTACCAGGGTTTGATGGTTGATCAGAAATCTCTGTTGCCTGCATGAAAAAACATAAACTGCACTCACTCTGCCAATCCCTATCGGTCTGAGACCCAGGGGCGAGTCAGTTGCCGTTCAGGAGAAAAGGCACTTAAAAACTTTAATCATACCTATTTCTTCTCCCAACCCAACAGACTCAGCTCAGGGATGCCAACTCCTCATTTTGTCTATCACAATAAAATTTATTGTGATAGACAAAATGACAAAATGACAAAATGTTAATGTGCCCCATCACTTACTCGGTCACTCTCTGACTCTCATGCTCCGAGTTTCCATGGGGTGGGTGTGTGTTGGTTCCCTGCAACAAGGGCGGTAAATATGAGAAAGTTTTGCATTTTTTTTAAGATCCTCTCCTTTTTTCAAATAGATCAATGTCTTTTCCATTAACTGACTAACTTCTGTATTTTACTCAAAAAAAAATTGAAAAAATAGCAATTCTTGCATTACCATGTAACAAGATAGACATTAAATTAGTATTGGAATATAGCACTAGTATGGTTTTGAAATAGTGTATTAGGATTTTTGGAACCCTTTAGAGATTTTTAGCTCTGTAAGTAATTTGAAATTCCCTGTCTTTTTTCTGGGAAATGTAACATTTCCTTGGCCAACTGAATAACTCACAAATTTCACAAATCAACCCTGATAATGGACCTTCACTCACAGCCATCCTGTCTCAACCCATTTCAAGTTACATGCGATGTACATTAATAGTTCCTAACTTAATGTGCAAAAAGGATTGATTTTTTTGAAAACCCAACATCAGCTTGTTGTTCAATTTAATAAACAATCCGTCTACCAAATCAATGGCAGATCCAGGGGAGGGGCCTACCCCCCCCCCCCCCATCTTGAGACACAATCAGGTCGCATCCATCCAAACAACTCCTTTTACACAGCGCTACACGCCCCCCCATCCCCCCTAAAACTAACAACTGCCTCTGCGCGGCCCCCCCCTTCTGCAATCCAGCAAACAATACTACGCTAGCTACCCCCCCCCCCCCCCCCATTTTTAGACCAAACTGAGGCCCGAAGGGCCGAAAAAATTTTTTTTAAGACTTCCCATCCCCCCCCTCCCCCCGCTTATCTCAGGGTCTGGATGACCGGAGCCCCTCCTTATCTGAAGGTCCGGATGAATACTCTAACACAGGACCTG